GGGGGGGGGGGGGTCCTGCTCTTCTGCTCTGGCCCCAAACGCACCCTCTAGTGGCCACCCTGGTACACCACAGGCACAGGGCAGGCACCAACCCCCTCCCCACCACCGCCCTCAGGATGAATCATGTCCTTAGGATCCAAGAAGCCAAGTCTCCCCAGATCTGCCAAGGTTCTAAGCCTTCTGCCTAGCTCCACAGCTGACTTTTGGGCTGGCTTCCTCTTTTGTCTGGTTCAATGCGCAAGGACAGTATGAGCAAAAAGGCTCAGGCCACATGGTCCCTGCCCTGAGCTCTTTATTTAGTGCGGGAAGTCACAGGGCAGCACACAACAGGACCAAAAAATATGAGCAAACTTCATCTGTGCTTTAATCCATTTTTTAGGAAAAAAAATAGAATTGTGGTAACCCTTCAACACAATAATATCACACAAGTTTTAAAGTATGTGGTTCTGCCTTACATTTGCACAGAAATCTATCCATTCCACACATGTAAACATGGCAGAGACTAAGGAGCAAGTTTGTGCAAACATAATAAGGCCACAACTGGCCAGAAAGTGGCTTTTCTCTCCTAAGGCCAGGTGACTTGGGACCCTCTCGACTGTCACATGGGCCCTTCTTGCCTCTGGGGCTCAGCCACAACTCCCCCCAGGGGCCCCACCAGGCCTCTGACCCCAGAGAGAGGTAGCTCCACTTCTGGAGCAAGTTTCTCGGGCTCCTCTCCCCTGGAACTAGGGGATGAGGGTCTGGGAAGAGGCCACACTACCTGTCATACCTGAAGTCCCTTCGGGGAGCTGGTGACCAGGAGCGGCAGGATGAGGAGCCAGAGCCGGAGTGGCCGCAGGAACAGAGCTGCCAACTGGCCTTGCTGGGTGGGCTCTGGTAGGGGCAGTGGTCAGAGCAAGGGGGGCTGACCCCCGAGTCCGCTGCGTCGTTGTCCTCCTCCTCCCTCTCTTCCTCTTCCTCCAGGAGGAGGCTGCTCTCACCACTGCTGCTGCTGCTGTCCTCAAAGACATCATACTCAGGGCTGTTGCACGAGGCCAGGTCTTCATCCTCCAGGGCAGCCTCCAGCATCCCAAAGTGCTTGGTGAGGCTGGCACGGATCTCGTGGTCTCTCAGCTGCACACTGTCCTTGGGTGGCTGACAGACGTCACAGCTTGGGTTCTCTTCCTTCCCAGGGGCCTGCGTCTCTGCCCATGATGGGGTACCTTGCTGGAGCTGGTCCCCAGATGGCTCCCAGGACCTCAGCACCTTCCTCTGCAGGGCGTCCTCCGGCCTGAGCACCTGGCAGTAGTCATGGTCTCCAAAGGAACAGGAGAAGGGGCGCTTCTGGCCAGCCTGGGAGGCTGGCCGAGTTGGGACATGCTGCAGGTGGGACAGGAGCGCACTCCTTTCTGAGAGCTTCTTAGGCAGCTTATGGGCAGCTCCTGGGGCAGCCATGAGCTGGAGGGCCTCGGGGGAGGGGCGGCCGGGAGCAGTCTCCTGGCCTGGGCTGTGCTTGATGTCTGGCTTGAAGGGATCCTCCTCTGTGGGCTTGTAGGGAGGCGTGGTAGGGGGTGTGAGTCCTGCCCAGGCAAAAGGAGAAACATGTGAGGGGAAGCCACATCTCCTCTCCAAGGGACAGACACTGAGACCTTAACTTGGGACAGTAAAGGAGTAGTTGCATGCTATTACTCCCCCAACTGATGGACGGCAGGCATCACTAACTGATCACCGCACGGCTTGCTGCCCGAGCCCGGATGTGGCCTGGAAGCCCTTCAATTATTTGGCACTGGAGTGTCATGAGGTGCACTTGCCATCCCTTCTGTGGCCTGGTAATGGCAGCTGAAGCCTCCAAGTCGTTAGAGATGACATCTCCTGTTCTACCTCCAAGCAGTCAATGGCTCCGACTCAGGTGTCTCCCAGGGTGCAGCAAGGTGGGCACCACAGGTGAAACTGCCTACTGCATTTGGCCACCACAGCGCCCTCAATTTTCCTATACCCGACCTTGGCATTCTCCCTCAGGTACCACAGGAACTTGCTATAATGCCCATTTCTTCGTCTCCGGGGCTCCTGAAGCCTACAGGATAAAGGCCAAAAACCTATGCATTTGGGTCCTTTTATGACCGCTCTTTCCTGACCCTCCTCCCCTGTTCTAATGTGTAGCAGAACCCAGTGACCAATGTCAGGCTGTATTTCTACTCCTCCATGTCTCTGCCTGTTTTTCATTCTGTTTCTTTTTAGGTGCCGGGGATCGAACTCAGGACTTTGCGCTTGCAAGGCTGGCAGCGGAACCACTGAGCTAAATCCCCAGCCCCTACCTATGTTGACCTTGCTGAAAATTACACCCTCCCGTTTGTCTTCCAACGTCTGTTCATCCTTTAGGAGCAGCTCAGAGTCCCTACTTTGGCACCCAACAGTCTGCTTGGGCCACATTCCTGCCCAGTCCCAACCCTCTTTGATCCCAGAGGTCCTGTTCACACTCTGCATGTCTGACAGCGCTCTCGGGGAGTGGGTCTGTCCCCGCTACCCCCAGACCATGGGCTTCTCCAGGGAAGAACTGTGTCTTTCATTTCTGACCCCGTGTCACCTCCTATGCCTATGACCCTCCTCCTTAGAACACCCTCACCCTCACGGTGCATCGCAGTGCCCAGCGCAGCCCTTGCAGTGGTGGCAGGGGAGGCTCACTGGGCACCCATACTGCCTGGGATCTGTTCAGTATGGGGATTTGTGGCCAGGAGCCTTGCCAGCTCCCCCAAAGGCACCCCACCAGCTGAACCCCCTGGCTCACCTGCTGTGCCACAGAGCTCCACTGTCAGGGTCTGTTCAAAGCTCTTCTTGCCAAAAGGGGGGTTGCTGTGGAGAAGGGAAAGGAGGACAGAAAGGAAAGAGGCCGTCAGCAGCAGGACCCCACTGCCCAAGCTTTCAAGGAGGGCCAGGGCACACTGGAACGGACCCTGGTTCTGCCGCCATGGGTCTGGGGAGCCTTTGCCGGGGGGCCCTCACCCTGGCTGCTGGAGGAATTCAAGCTGCACAGCTTTTAGGAGACACAGGCAGGGTTGCTGGAGGGTGTGCAGACCACAAGTCTCGTGTCATTGCCACCTTTTCCCATGGAGAAGAAAGCTTACGAAATGCCCGAGGGTTGGTCCTCATCTTTCCCCTGGGCCTGCAGAGACCGGCTTCTAAAAACCAACCCTTTTCTTAGAGAGCTTAGCTCCCGCTGACCCTGACAACAGGCAGGGCAGGGGTCTATGAACAGAGCTGGGCTCGGGGTCGGACAGATTCACCCTGAACCCAACAACCACAAATCCAACAACACAAAATCTGATGGAATAATATACCAGAAATTTCTTTAAAATCTACCTTTGTGATAAGGCCAGCATGAGGCACCTTGAAGAGTCTGAAAAGAAGACCAACAAAAGGAAAATAAGATTCTTCAACATGGCACCACAAGCAGACATTTCCTCCCAAAGGACAAAGGAGGCCTCAAACTTTCAGGGATGCCGGAGGAGAGCTGACCCGATTTCTTATCCCTCTCTAGGGAAGGACAGGATCGAGTCCAGTCTACCTTCTGTCCCAGTGTCTGAGAGGAGGGGATCTCCGTAATTTTTCAGAGAGCAAACGTGCACAAGAGGTTGACTGGCCCGAGTGCAGCACCTTGGTGGGGAGCTTTCGTTCCCAAATGCTACAGCTGTGGGTTTTGGAGAGTCCAGCAGAGGGCTGAACCCTACACAGCAATGAGCCTCAGCTTCTGTGTTTTAAAATGGAGGGGTCACCGTATCTACCACCTAGGTCTCTTGGGAGAGGATGTGTTAGGTCTTAGACCAGCAAGTACACAGTAACTGGTATCATTACTACCATCATTAGCATTTAAATCACCTCACTGTGACGCTGGACTTATAGGCCAACACTTGTTACACTATCCCTAGAAGGTCTTCTTTAGGACACTTACCAAAATTTATAATCAGCCTCCTGTTTTGTTTTTGACTGCCTTTCTGCCCCCCTGAAACATAAACCCCGTGAAGGCAGGCAGGCATCTCGCTCCTTTTTCATTAAGCAATGCCTCGCCTGTGTGCCGGGGGTACACAGGTGGTTTCCTGAAGATCTGCCTCGACAGCACACTGCACAGAAAGGGAAGTGAAAAGCCACAGAGGAAAAGAGCCCTGCCCAACTCTGCACACTTTGGGTCGGGGCCCGAGACACGGGACCCCCGGCTGTTAGCCCAGTAGGATGTTCTAGACCCACCCCTGCCCTCTCTTGCAGACCGCTGGCTCTGACTACCTCTGGAAGGGAGCTGTGGGCAGCTGGGGTCCTCATCCGTGTCCCCACACCCACTCTCGCAGGGACTCTCCAGGGCAGGGATCTGGGGTCCCCGTAGGAGCTGCTGGTCATGGGTACTGTCCTCGTCCGCGGGGCTGCCCAGCTGTCCCTCCATGTCGCAGGCCTTGGGAGGCAGGCGCAGTGAGGACAGAGCACCTTGGGGCTCTGAGGGGGCCAGCAACTCATCAGAGAACGTCAGCCAGGGGCCCAGTTCAGGGTTCAGTCTCCGAGAGCGCCGCACAGGGCACACAGAGCCCTCCGGCTTCTTCCCCAGCTTGGTCCATGGCAGACCTCGGCCTGGCCTTTTCCTGCCCCACTCCTCCTCCTCCTCCTCTTCTTTTTCTTCTTCCTCTTCTTTGTCTTCATCCTCCTCTCCTTCGTCCTCCTCCTCCTCTTCTGCCTGCTGCTGTGGCCTGGCAGGCTGGCTGACGTCCCCTTTCACCTGCAGCCTCAGTGGACGCAGGCTCGGCCGGGGCCCTGAGCTCCTGGGGGAAGCTGCGATCCTCACCTCCTCCACTGGCACTGGGTGAGCAGGGGAGGCCCGGCTGTCTTTGGGGAGCCTGGGCCTTGACTGGGGTGTGAGAGAGGCATAGACAGGCATGGCCAGGCGGTAGGGTTTGCTGACATCACAGAGGACATCTTGAGCCAGAAGCTCTCTCAAGATGGAGAACTCAGCCCAGGAGGGTTTGGAGGGGTGCCGAGGCCTGGGCCGGACCTGCCTGGAGGGGCTGCCACGGGGCTGGGGCACCGGCTCAGGGGGCTGCGGGGGCAGCTTCCTCTGGGGGAGGCAGTAGGTGTGCATGTAGCGGATGAGCTGCACCATGGCCTGCATGTCCTCCTGGGTGGCCTGGGCGTAGGGGCTTGCTCTCCCCAGTGTCACAGCGGCCGGGTGAGAGGCTGGAGCTGGCTGGGGGCTCGCACAGTCCTCCCTGGGCAGTTTGTCCTCCTCGGCAAGCAGCTGGGGACTCAGAAGTTGCAGGCCCCTCTCTGGGGAACAGGCTTTCGCCCGGGGGCAGGAAGGCACCGAAGTGAGGTGCTTATGTAGTTCTGTACAACTCCGGCTCTGAGACTGTGGCACAAGGGCCTTCTTGTCTTGGGCGCTGTCCATCTAGAGTGAGACAAAGGCAAGAGTGAGGGAGGACGCACTGCTCCGCCCCCCTCCTCCCCCACAGCCAGGTGCTGGCCTGGCCTGCCTCACCTGGACCAGCCAGCACCTGGCTGTGCTCCGGAGTAGAACACCCCAGCCCTGGAAGGTTTCCCTGCCATGAAACTGGCCCCTGAGACACTTCTAGATGCACTTCAGAGGCCTGCTTGGTCTGTCACATGTCCCTTCTCCATCTCCTCCAGGCACAGGGTCAGGACCTGGGTTTCTGGCTGCCAACACTGGGAATGGGAGGGTACCACTGTAAATGGGAACACTGGGGTCCTTTCAGGGAGATGGGCATGTTCCAAAACTGGATTGTGGTCATGGTCACAAAACTGTAAATTTACTGAAAACCATACAATCATATTTTTAAGATAGGTGGCTTTTGGCAGGGCACCTGTTGTCCCAGTACTTAGGAGTCTGATGAAGAAGGATCACTGGAGCCCAGGAATTAAAGATCAGCCTGGGTAATACAGTGAGACTCCATCTCCAAAACACACAAAGGTGGCTTTTATGCTGTATACAGCACTTGAGAAAAGTTGTTATGAAAAGAGAAAAAAATTGCTTGGTATGCCCCTAGCGCTAGCACTCTGTGAGTCTGAGGCAGGATCAGAAGTTTGAGTCCAGCCTGGGCAACTTAGCTAATTGGCAAGAACTTGTCTCAAAAGGACTAGGGTGTGGATCCAGGTAAAGGCCCTGAGTTCAATCCAACAAGAAGAAGAGTTAAGAAGAAAGAAGAAGGAGGAGAAGGAGGAGGAGGAAGGGGGGAGGAAGAGGAAGACGAGGAGGAGGAGGAGGAGGAGAAAAAGAAAAATTCAAGAAGAAAAAAAGAAAGAAAGAAAGAAAGAAAGAAAGAAAGGAAGGAAGGAGGGAGGGAGGGAAAAATTCAGTAGCGTTCCAGCATCCACACGATAAAGGGAGGCTACCTGGGCAGGAGCCTGAGTCTCTGCATGCTGGCATTAGCCGATGTCTCTCCCGAGCCTTCCTGCCCATGGGCTCCTGCTCGGAGGCTTCCCTGCCACTGCCACTTTTTCCTGGGGCTTCCCAACAATGGCTGCTGGGTGTGTCGTCTCACTTAGAAGCCTTCTAATACCTCAGAGGGCAAAGAACTGGCCCACAGAGCAGCTCAGCTACTGCGAAATGGAATGCAGGAGGGTGGGCTTGTGCTCCAGGTCAGCCAGGACACGCAGGGCGGGAGCACAAGGAGAGGGATGTGGCCAGGCAGGAGGGGCAAGCATAAGTGCAGCTTTAAGAAGCAGGAAGCCCTGGAAATCACCTAGGTAAGCCCTCCTTGTTAGACGTGGGAGATGGAGCCCAAAAGAGGGTGTGCTTTGATCCTTGCTGTTCAGAGCTCCAAATTGCCTGCAGCCTCCACTGCCAGTGAGGATCCTGTTTCCATCTGTCATCCCATTAAACACGAACCCCGAGGGAAGGCCACTCTGTCCCTGCCCCGACCTGTGTCAAAGTCTAACAGCATCTGAAACCGTGAAGTGTGAAAGAAGTCCAGGGTTCTTTCTAGAACCCCAAATTGGACTGTATCTCAAGAAGCAGAGCGCAGGACAATGGCTCCACGACGTCTGTGTGAGGAGCACGAAGAGTCTGAAGTGGTCCGGACCGGCCACACATGCCGGAAGTGAGACTGCGTCCCTGGGCGACTTCTCCTGGGGCCTAGGCTAACTTCTGGGCCTGTGCAGAAATACCTTGACCCACGGCCGTTGACTTCTGGACCTGAGGCCAGCCTGACGCCAAGCGGTCCCCTCCTTCTGAGTGTCAGAGCTTGATGGTGGGGAGGATGTGGCCAGGAGGAGCTTCTGCAGCTGGGGAGAAGCAGAGAGAGAGTCTGGGGCTAGCAGGGCCAGACATGAGGATCAGAGCCTCCTATCGAGGCTGATCACACCTTAGCTGGCACCGCGGGACTGTGGGGAAGGCGCATGATGCCCTCGGATGACGCTCCCAACACAACGAATGCGGAAAGCATATTGCATAATAATCCAAAATATGCACAAATATCACACTAACGCATAAGTTCTTTTCAGAGTCATAACCCAAGAGAATAGCTGTGACTCTGGGAAACCAAACTGCCCTTGGATAATGCCTACCCATTCTATGGTTAAACTATTATCAGGACATTCTGTATATACTTTTAGTAGACACACATACACACAAACACACACACACACCACACACCTGTGAGGTTAGGTACCGAAATCATCTGAAGAAGAGTCAACTTCCTTTTGATCATTCATAGTAACTTTTAAAAAATTAATTTCTTAAGCTAAATGACATATAATTATTAAATTTCTATCTACCTAGGACAAACACTAAAGGGTAGACAATTAAAAGCATCTCCCCCCATCCTACGTCTCTTTGTTGTTCCCAGAAGCACAGGCCACTAACTATTCTCTGGTGCACCTATCATGAGATGGGCTTTAATCATATAATAACACAGATACATGTTACCTTCAACCCACTCGGCTATTTTTCACATATGGAATAATGTTAAAGTTTAGCTTGTCTTTTTTTCCTAGATAATTTTGCAATAGAGATTGTTGAAACTCCCCTGCTTCTGCACAGGCAGTGCTCGGTGCCTCCGAGCTGACACACCTAGAAGTTCTACCCAGGATCCATCATGGTCAAGGATAAAACGTGGTGAAGAAACATACAATGGGATTTTACTGCAGCAGTGTTTTCTGGGGAACGTGCCCCACCCCCACTGCAGCAAGGAGCCCAGGACTAGAAGGCAGAGACAAGGCATGCCCTACTCTCCTAAGGAGCTAAAGGACCCCCCCACTGCCTCACATGGACCCCAAATCAACATGCACCCTGACTTTGGATAGGAAAAGACTTCTGGCCCACAGGAAAGTGACCTGGTTCTACACAGCTCGGTCCTATTCACTGTGTGTGAGACCTGGGCAAGCCACTTCCCTCTCTGGGCCTTGGTTTCTCCATTGGCATAATGGGGGATAGAGAGAAGTAATGACTGGACCTGAACCTTTTTCTGACTCTAATAATACAAAAGGAGCTGCTGACCTCAGAAAAATGCACAAATATGTAGAGGTCTTAATTCCATGGGTGGGTGCTCTGGGATCCTTCACGAGACCTAGGGTCTGCGAAACTTTCAGGACCTCTCTACACTGGTTGGTATACTGAGAGTCTAGACAGTGAGTCTGTTTCCTGTGGGCCTAAAGGGCCTTCCAGTGCAAAAAACAGGTGCTCAAGAGAGGAATATGCATGAAGAAAAGTCTAAGGGATGGGAGGGAAACAACCGTTGACCAGCAGGGGTCGCTCTTTGCCTCGCCAAGATCTGGTGCCTATATAAAGCCCTGTGCAGAAATGGCCCTGAAACCTTGTTACCACCAATGGTCATGCCGGGACAATGACTTAGCTAGTGTTTACTGAGGGAGTTTATGTGCCAGACCTTGTTCTAAGTGCTCCCCATATATGACCTGCTCTAGCCTTGAATACCCTTTGAGGCATCCACTCATCTGTCAATAGGTCAGGAAGCTGTGAGAGAGAGGTTAAAAGAGGGTGGGTGCCTCAGGGACCCAAAAGCACTACTTAATGGGACTGGAATTCAAACCCTGCTGGTCTAAGTCCAGCCTGGAAGGAAGCAGGACCCTATCAGCAGGAGCCATCATGTGAGACAACATATTCTGTGCCAGCCAATGGTAGGTGCGTCTTAAATGTTTCCCACTGATTTGAGGACCCTGAAGGCAGTGAGGGAAAAAGCAAACAGCCCTAGACCGTGAGTCTGAACACCTGGGTCCTAGTCTTTGCTGGCACACCAACTTGCTCTGGAGGAGACCCTCCCTTTTCTAGTCCTCAGTTTCCCCAGAGCTGGGCTTGATAATCACCAAGGGCCTTTCTAGCGCCAGGTCTCCGTGACCTAAGAACTCTCCCCGCTCTGACAGGCTCTGATTTCCCACATGATTCCCACCAGCTCCCAGGTGAGGGAGGAGCACAAGGAGGCCACACCACACTGTGCACTCGCAGTGATGAGCTTCAAGAACGTCAGCAATGGCCTCCAGCGCCTGTGAGGTCCGGACCTCCTGGCAGTCTGAGCACAGCTGACTCCCTCTCCCCACAGAGCCACTCTGCTGCCTGCCTTTTGTGTGCCCGGTGTACTCGCAGATAGCACTGGACTTGTGCTGGGGGAGGACACACCCATCTGCTCCCCCTGGAAGGCCATGCAAGGGGATCTGTCTAAACTGAAAAATCATGCATGTTTAGACCAGGACATCCAGTTCCAGGAGTTTATTCACTGACTGGGGCAAAACCTGCCTGGACAGAGTGACTATACACTGGGTATGACAATGCAGGAATCAAACAACACAAATCCCTGTTAGCAGGGATGTGGTTTAAATAAAGGATGGCATATCCTCACCCAGGAACACTACACAGCCAACAAGAAGGGTGAAACTCCTCATTTGGAAAAGCTTCCAAGACACACAGCCAAATGAGAGAGCAAGGTGAGGGACTGAGCACATATAACACAGGCTCTCTTTTGTAGTAAAAAAAAAAAAAAGGTGAAGAGGAAAGTCACATAACAAATCTGTAACCATGGTTACCTCTGGAGAAGGAAAAAAAGCGATTGTGAGAGGGCAAAGGAGGTTTTGCTTGTAACTGTTCACATTTCCTGCTTGGATTTTTACCATGTCTATATAATCTTTAGAAAGATGTTTGCATGTAATTTCAAGGACTTAACACATGACTCAAGTCAACCTTTGAAATCCTAAGGAGCCTACGGAATTCAGGTGAAGCCTAGCTGGGTGGCATCAGACCTCTGGGCCAGGCTCTCCGCCAGGAACATGGAGCCGTGATGCACAGCGGCCCTGGCGGTGCCCAAGCTAGCGGCACTGCACCCAACCCCAGGCCAGCACCATTACCTCAGCTAGAAAGGTTCTCACCAGGGAAAGCTCATCAACCTCCGAGGCTGGGGCCAGAGCCTCTGGGGTCGGGCTGGGCGGTGCAGACAAGGGTGCGGGTGAGGCCGACGTGCAGGACGGCGTGTCTCCTTCATCCAGGGCCGAGAAGGCGGCCAGCCCCATGTCATCCTCGGGGATGTCGTCCAGGGTCTTGGTGAGGGCCGCCAGGAGCGCCTCATTCTCACTGTCGATCTGGAAAGAAGAGGCAGGGGGAGAGCTGACATCTTCTCCACAGAGAGCTGCTCTTCTGCATTCCTTTCGGGCGTCCCAGGTCTCTCTCATGGCTAAAACCTGACCTGTGCTGGGGGAATGAATGCAAATCAGTCTGCCCTCATCGGAAAGATCTGGCTAAACTGAAAATCACGTACCTTAAGACCAGGAGTTCCACTGACAGGGGACAAAGGCCAGCTGTCTGCATAGTGGAAACCTGCTGTGTCCGCTCTGCTCCACAACCTCCTGCCAAATGTCTTTCCCTACCCCTGTGCCCATCAGATCTGCTCAGTGCTGCTGGGACAGCAGATGCCCAGTAAAGGTTTTGCTAACTCTAACACCCCTATAGGCCGTAGGTGGTAAGGGAAAGGGCCCTTCCCTCCCTGGAGACCCAGGCTTGGCTCTGCTGCGCACCAGAGTGTGACCTGGCTCATACAGGTGTCCCTAGGAGCAATGCCTGCGTTTTCCGCTAAGGACCGAGGTTGTCCCCAACACTCTCAGCAGTACCCTTGAGGCCCTAGCCCCTTGGGCTCTGAGACAATGAAGGCTGAACAAGCCAGGGCTCAACCATGACAAGAACAACCACAGCAATAATGACATAGCTACTGTTTCCGTGTGGGGTCCCAGGTTGGGAGCTGGGCTTGAATCCCACGGCTCAAACTTACCAAGAGTGGGTCCCTAGGCAAGTAGTTTCCTTGCCTGTCAAAAAGGATAACAGCACCTACTTTGTGGGGCTGTCACTTAGAGACAGATGAGTTAATATAGGGAGGATGTTTAGGAGTCGGACCTGGCCCAGAGCAAGCGCTCGATGTTACTGTGATGACAATATGTTACCACAATGTGATGGCGAGGACGACGATGGTGGCCGTGCTGGTGGTGGCAACCCTTTCTCTGCCTTTCACCCCCCAGGACTGTCCTCCCCCGGCTTTTGTCAGGCACCGCTGACACAGCACACTAAGATCCCCATGGCCCTGCCCTCCTGCAGCCCACCCTCCGGTGAAGGTAGAGTCAAAGAAGTAAAAAAAAAAAAAAAGGCCGGAGATTTAGCTCAGTGGCACTGCACCACTGCACCTGCCTCGCAAGCACAAGCTCCCGAGTTCCATCCCTGGTACCCACCCCCCAACACAAGTTAAAACACACACACACACACACACACACACACACAAGCTCATTGCAAAGCATAAGAAAGGGCTGGGAGCCAGAGAAGAGGAACATGACCAAGCTTAAAGGCTACCTGGGGTCGGCCACGGAAGCTTTCTCTGAGCAGCTTTGTGACAGTTAAGCTTAGTTGTCTCCTTGATTAGCTTAGAAGCCACCTAGGGGATAGTAAAACACACTTCTGAGTGTGTCGTGGGGGGAAATGGAGGTACAACCCTGAGGCTTATGTCTGGCCCCTCGCCCTTCCTCTCTGCCACCGTTCCCTGCTCTGCCTCCCAGCCGCCATGAAGCAGGCAGCTTTGCTCTGCCACGACCTTCGATAATCATGCTTCTGTCCTGGAGCCACTGACCATGGACTGAACTCCTCAAACTGTGAGCCAAAGGAACCCTCTTTTCCTTTAAGTTGCAGTTATTCCATCCGGCAATGAGAATACTAATACAAGTTCACATCTCAACTTAGCCTTGAAAGACACCAAGCAGGCTGAGCGCTAAGGAGTGAAGACCCAGGCAAAGGGGGTGCCCAGGGTAAAGTCCTGGGGCAAAGAGCCCTGCTCAGAGAGAGACAGAGACCTGGTCAACATCACCTCAGTGAGCATGTCAATCACCCGTACAAAAGGAGCTCTGTTCTGATGTCCACTTTGCAGGTGAAGAAACTGCCTTATAGAGTTTCAGCAACTTGCCATGAGTCACCTAGCAAATAATGGGCAAAGCCAGGTCTGGGACTGAGTGCCCCACGCTCAGGTGAGTGAAGGTGCTTCACTTCGTGCAGGGAGGGTAGGCCTGTCCACTCCCAGTCTCCAGGATGTTAGCCAGAGGCCCAGAGCAGAGATCACTGCTCCTAGGCAAGGACAAGCACCTCTATCAGTAAGCCTGGGCTCCCGGGCCTGTTCTGGCAGAAGCACATGCTGTCACATGATGCCTCCCCAGCATACTTTCCCATCCCAGGTCAGGCTGTTTATCCTTCCTTCAGGAAGTTCATCTGAAATCCACATCTCATGACAGCCTGTTGGCTGCACTAAATCTGTTCCAGGCCTTGCAGTCAGAACAGCAGCTGAGTAACTCCAAAGGGGGGACATGGGGAGAGGAGAACAAACACATTTGTAATTTTTAGAACAGAGCTAAGAATAAAAGTCAAAAGGAAGATCTTGGTTGGACCTGACCCAAGCTCTGGGAATGGGGGCCCCTGGGCAGATCAGGCCCACGGACCCTGGCTTTAGAACGTAATGGGGTCTCCAAGACAACTATAAACTACATGAACTGTGAACACGTACAAAAAAAAAATTGCAGTGGGGCTCACTTGGCTGCCTCTGGCCCCCACAACAAATCTTCCCTAACCCCCAGGCCGGACTTCCAACCCAGTGCTCCCACAATGATCTTTCCAACTCGATGGGGAGTCAAGATCCTGGAACTTGGAGCTCAGTGGCCAATAACAGGCCCTGCCACAGAGTGACCCTGGGAAAGTCATTTCCTCCCTCTGAGCCTCGTTCCCTTACCCATACAGTGGGAAGACCTGAGCCTGGGCCGTCTCCCCGGCGTGGCTGAGGAGAGCGCTCCACTGGGTGCCCGGAGCATGGGAAGCTGCAGAGGAATTGAGTAAAGAAATGAATGAGCCAAACAATGAACAACGGCCGATGGCGGGAGACTGAGTTCAGAGTCTCAAAGACTGGATTCTAGAGGGAAGTCATCCAGAAATGACATCACCAGCACTGGGTGGAATGAGAATCCACACTCTTTCCCAGGGACCGTAGCAGACGGCCCAGAGCCATTATGAATTATCATGCTTATCAGATCTGGAAGGGTCTCAGGGCCAGGTTAGTGACCCGTGGTGCCAAATACATGTCACACATATGCCCACTGTGGTACACAAACCCTGATGGTGGGCCCGCCTGTGGTGGTGCTGGTTCCTTCCACACCAGCACCTCTCTTGACACAGGGCTCCGGGCCACAGCCAGCACTCCTAAGGCACCCTAGCTGCCATTCTTTTTTGCTGGAAGAGGCTGAAGCCCCAGGAAAGAAACTTGTCAAGGTCTTACCGCCAATCAGGGATGAGAACTTGGGACTTAGAAAGCTGACCCTGGCTACTGAGTGCCAGGGACAGGGTGAAACAAAGAAAAACAGCTGCAAACTCTAGAAGCACCCATCAAGTTGGGTGAAGGTAAAAGTGACTAACAAAAGGCCTTCCCTGTTCCCACCTCCTTGGGCTGCTCAGCACTAGAATGGTCTCCACAGGGGCTGCAGGTGCTAAGTGGCAGGAAGGAGAGGTCCTTCCTGCCTACCCAGCCCCCTCTCTCCCTCTGCACCATCCTGTGGGCACCTAGCGTATCTATCTATCGTATTGCCTCAAGGGGGGCTGCACACCCTCTCCTTTCTCCGGGCCCATTAGCTCGGCTCCCCCTGCTCCGCTTAGAAATGGAGTGCGAATTAATGAGGAGTTAATCAGCTGAGGAAAGGATATTAATAGACTTGGCCCCACCCCCAGCCTTCCTGAGCCGAACTTGAGCTGGAGGAAAAAGAGCCTTTAAGAAATCCGAGGGAAATGCTTCATTTGGGGGACTTGATATGGCTTCGGGATGGCACAGACCAGCATATAGACTGTCAGTGCTGCAAAGGTGCCCAGAAATCCTCCACTGTCCAGCAGGCTTTGTTGAGCCCCACTAAACTCAAGAAATTGCCCTCTTCCCCATTTTTTTCTGGGAGAAAGTCCATGATTTCATCCAAGTCTAAAAAGGACACAGTGGTTCTCCTCTCCCACACCAAGCACATTAAGGGTCACCTAATCTAGTCCACGTTCCTTCACTCCTCACACTGTCCAAGCTCACAGAGCATAGAACCACCAAACACCTGCTGAGTCTAGAAATCCTAAGTGCCCACCGGTCCCAGGCCCTACAAACTCTGGGCATAGGAGAAATGTCCCTGTTCCAAAAGGCTGTCAACCCTTACAGCCACAGCTTCGTCTCCACTCTTCTAGTTTGCCCCACAGCGGGGATGTTCAGTTGTTAGAACGTTGCTCTGACGCAAGCAGGCAGACTCCACGATTCCCACTGGGTCCCACAAGGAGACTGTCCAAACTACTGGGAGGAAAACCAGAACCTAGGGCCCTTGGATCCCAGCTCAATGAATGGGTCCTTTCCAACCTTTTGCAACAGAGAAAAGACTGCAATTGATTCTACTGTTCAACAAATAGAACTGAGCCCTTGCAGTGTGCAGGGCCCCAGAGATGATGAAAAACGTGAGAGACGTGTTACACTTGAGATGGGAGCTCAGGAGAAGAAGCAACCAGCCAGCTGACTCCTTGGGAGGAGGCAACATGAGAGATGGGCAGGGAGCCTGTGTTCACAGGACAACTGTTTCTGAGGTCCTGACAGAGTACTGGACACCACGCAGGATGTGGACACACCCCACGCAGCGTTTACTATGGCTGGGCCAGGACTAGGGGCAGACCCTGAGCACATCACACATGCACGGCAGGTACTGTAGTGAGTAGTGGAAGGCAGAACTGGCTTCTGCTGGGGTGTGCAGGCCCTGACGCAGAGCTCTGCCAGCTGTGCGTCATCCTCCTCATGGGGCTGGGATCCTGGGGCTACACCGTTCCATGCAAAGGCAGGACACTGGCAGAGAACTGCTGGGGTGTCTGGCCAGGAGTACATGTGTATGTATGGGGGGTCCGTGCAATCTGTGCATGGGTGCTCTGGGCAGCACCCCAGCCCTTCTCCTACATGAGATCTTCACAATCGGAGAGCAGTTTCAGGAAGTTTGCCCTCTGAGAGGGTGGGTGCAACACTGAAGGCATCATTCTGTTCTCAGATAAGGAGATGGGGGACATGGATGGAGCCAGAGTCGGAGCCCAGCTCTCAGACTCCTCACAGGATTGGCAAAAGCGTTCAGTGCAGCAGTAAGGGATAAAGGATCTTCGGTTAGAGTCTGCCCTGAACCCTTCCTGAGCAGGTGACTTTGGACAAGTAACTTCACCTTTCCAGCTTTGCTCTCCTTACCTGTGAAATGGGTTATCAGTAACACACAGCTTATAGGTTACACTAGTTCCAGCAGAAGTGCAGACTCCTTACCATGACCTACAAGAGGCTATGTGGTCAGGCCCCTGCCTGCTGCTCCAACCCCACCTCCTAGCACTTTTTTCTCGGCCTTTCTGCTCCCCGCCCCTGCTGGCCTTCCCTGCCTTACTGGTCTGCAGCTTACTCCTGTCCGGAGCACTCTTGCCCTTGCCCTTTGGGCTTCAGGGCTCTTTCCTCATCCTGCAGCTGGGCCCACTTCTTTGGGAGGTCTTTTCTGGCTGGCCAGCAGACTGCAAACCTTCCCATTCCTTGGTATTTCCCTGTGTGCTCTGTCCCAAGCCCAGTGGCCGCTGCTGTTTCTGGGTTTGCCCTTGTCGGTGCCGTCCACTGACGGACACAGTGCCCGACACACAGGGGACTCGACAAGCCTTTCCAGAAGGACTGACAGCGCCTGTGGGAGGACTATTTGAGGCAACACTGCGGCCTGCCATGATAGCAGGTGGCACATGGCATGTCATTACTTCGCCACATAGGCACAGCTGGCTGTAGTTTCAGCCCCCAAACTTGATAGGGGAGGAAATGTCAAGAAAAGAATAATGAATGCAAAGGTATCCATCACCCAGCTTAACCCACAGCCAGTCTTATTTTGTCTATTGCTTTGTGCTGCACACCCACACGCACACACGCAAGTGCATGCAGAGTGTGCTTTCTTCACAAGCAAACCCCAGCCACTGTATCCCTCCAGGTGGCTTAAAGGAAGCCATATCCACCCAAGGTGCACGGGAAGTATACAGGACCGACAGGCCTGCGCGTGGGGCATGGCCTCTTGTTAAAGAACCTTCAACTGGAAAGTAGGGAAAAGTGTGTCTACAACTAGGAGACATTAAGAGAATTAAATGGGTAATGTACACCGGGACAGCCCTACCGCAGAACAGGTGCTCAGTGACTGAGTCCTTCTTCCTCCTGGCTCAGGAAGCAGCAGACTGGATTTGGTTCTAGTCCTGCCACTGGCTAGGCAAACTGCTCATTGTGTGTGACTTAACTTGCCGAGCCTCAGCTTCCCTATGTGTAAAATGGGGGAAATAATGGTGCCTTGCCTCACGGGGAGGGTGAGGATTTGATGAGACACGCAGGGAGCAGAGGATGTGGTGCCCGGTTCTGCCAAGAAGGCCCAGAGGGGACTGCTCATCCTAGCTCTTAGTTTTGAGAGGTGGTAACTTGGGCCAGGTGAGGGAATGGGAGCTGCCCCAGGTCAGGTGCGGACCCAGGACAAGAAGCAGTGTCCCCAGGGCTTGGGTGGGTGCAGGAACTTCTGGGTGAGTGAATGTAGAGGGCGGGGAGAGGACAGAGGCACGTGGGCAGGGGTGAGGCCGGGCACCTACCTGGAAGAGCTCGCAGTCGTCTGGGCTGTACTGGCTGGGCTCAGTCTCTGAGTTCTCTGGGCACCACTGCAACCCCCCGAAGCAGGTGGCTGAATCGAAGTCACTGGTGTCCAACTGGGACAGGTCGAGCTCTGGAAAGTCGGCACAGAGTTGCTCCTCCCCGGATCCTCCACCCTGAGGAGACAGGAAGGAAGGAGGCAGATCAGAACTGAGCTTGGCTGGACCCAAGCAGAGGGCCCCTTACTAACAACACTGCAGATCTGGAGCCTTGGCCAAGGCCCAATTTCGCCAAATGACCAACAAATGCAAGATCTTCCCCACTCCTTACAATCGCTGAAGCTACCGGTAGTCGAGTCAGGCCCCAGCAGTACAGTCCCCCTGTGCCCTCTCCTCTTCTCTGTGCACTCCTATACATCCCTCAAGGCCCTGCCCACATGGCATCTCTTTTCTCTTACTGGAGACAACTTTAGTAGAATCTGTAAATAGAGAATTACTCCTTTATACAACTGTCCCCATAAGGGGATTTCTCAAAGTTAACCACCCCTTAATATTCACATTGAAATACAACACAGCAACAATGATGGGTGACATTATTGAATGATTATAAGGTTCTGAATAAACACCCGAATTCCCAGGGAATTTAGAGGGTTATTTTGAATAACCACAATGTAGAAGACCACCCACTGGTAGGCAGAGCCATTAATACATCTGCACCAAGAAATACTACTGTGTTACTGAGAAGAATGAGGCAGATATACAGATCACCTCCAAGACACGTCAAATAAATATAATCTCTCATGTATAAAGAGAATGAAAGAACAATCGAGCTATACTTTTCTCAGGGTAGGATAATATATATACAAACACACAGGAAGAGGCCTCAGAGCCATGTGACAGAGGGCAGTGGGGTAGAAGCAGGACCACGTGAACCAGTGGTTCTCAAAGCCTGGTCAGGCTCGGGACCAGCTGCAGAAGCACCAGCGGGGGTACTTGCTGTGGGAACAGTAATGCAAACTCTCAGGCCAGCCCCAGAGATCCTGAATGAGAAAGCGGCCCACCACCTTCTCCCCCAGTCTCCTGAGTTTAACACCCCAGTCTCCTGAGTTTAACAGTCACTGACGGAAGGGCTGAGAGATTCAGAGTCACAAGGAGGATGGCCCGGGCTCCTGGCAGACATGAGCTGAAATCCCCCCTCAGCAGCGGTGAGACTTCGGGTCCGTCCCTTCATCCCTCTGAAATCCAACAGCCTCCTGTAAAAGGGACCCCAGCACCACCTGCCCCGCGGGGTTAAGAGCACAAGAGGCAGTTTGCAGCCTGGCCCACTGAGAGCTCAGTAAATGTCACCTAACAGTAATGACATGAAATAATGATGCTACCAATAGTGGAAACAGTTGTGTCTCATGGCAGGCAGGGAGGGGTGGGACCTGTCTGAGAGAACAAAAAAAGGCAAACATGAAACCAAAGAGAAATAGGTTTTGCCCAGGCCTTTTCCTTAATTGTTCCCACTTACTAGGCCTCATAAATTATGAATAAATGTATATAATTAGCCAACTTGACACAGGAAAAAAAAGGCTTTTATCCAAATTTGGGTCAATGCCTTAATTGGCATTTTGCAAGAATCCTGCCTGCACAGGTAGTACCAGGGCCTCCAAGAGGTGGCTCCCAGCTGAGTCTCAGGCCAAGCAGACTGAGCCCTGCAAGACTCTGTCACCAGAGACATTGCCTCTGACATCCTGCACTCTGACTGTTCATTCTTCCTCCAATCTACGTGGATTCAGTGGCCTTAAATACTGAGCTACTCTGAGACAGATACTGTGCCGGCTGTTATGACCAGGGCCAAAAGACACAGAATCCCTGTCTTGAAATTTAGGAGATGATGTTACATACATAATCATGAAAATGAAATGTGATTACAGCAATTCTCCCTTATATGTGGTTTCAGTTACACATGACAACTATACTCTGAAGATATCAATCACTTAACAGTGTACCCTGAGTGTCACTTGGGCAGGTGTCATTTCAACCAGTCAATCCCTGTATTGAATAAATTTAATACAATCGTCATTTTTATATTTCCTATTATATTATCTTATAAAAATTAACAAAAAATATTCAATGTTTGGTTATCCTGCATTTAAATAACTGGACTGGCAAGTGGTTAAGTAGAAATTCTGGAAATAAGCAAAATTGACTAGCATGATGAAATCCTGAATAGTCCTGCTGTGTCTCATTGGGGCACGAACACTCTTTTGTCAAGTGTATCCACACTGTATATACTACCCTCCCACCAATCACTTAGTAACCATCCTAGTCAGCAGATCAACTATGGGAATTGTGTTCTGGCAACGTTTCTTTTCCTGACTAGTGGTCCCAAAGTGCAAAATAAACCAAAGAAAATCCACAACATGTTTTCTATAAAAAAAAAGGTGAAAGTTCTTGATTTAATAAGAAAAGAAAAAAATCCTATGCTGAGGTTACTAAGACCTACAATAAGAATGAATCTTCTATCCATTAATTTGTGAAGATGAAAGAAGCCAGTTTTGATGACATATCTCAAAATGCAAAAGTTACGGCCACAGTACCTGGGGTAAGTGCATAGTTAAGATAAGACGAAATAAGGGCTGGAGATTTAGTTCAGTAGTGTGGCTGCCTGCCTCAAAAGCAAAAGGTCCTTAGTTCACTATCCAGTACTGCAAAAAAAAAAAAAAAAAAAAAAAAAAAA